TCACTTTGATCGTATGAACTGGTGAATTGTAAAGTGCCTTGAGATGACATGTGTTCTGAATTGGCGCTATATTAATAAACTGAATTGAACTGAATTGATATCAATCAACAGAGATCTTTTCTCCCCTCCCACTGCCACAAACTAAATCCAAGGAAACTCTGCAGCCCATAAATATCTATCATTAACAATAAATCCAGCTCTCTGAACAGCTACTTATGAGGATTACATCACATAAAAAGTATCTCGCTCTGAGCTTAAATGTTTCATTTTTCTCTGTATGCATTTTATACTAACTTAACTTTTCTGCTCAGCTGGGAGATGCATCTATGTCTGAGTCTCCAGAAGAGGAGGAAGACGCTGATAGTCCAGGACCACTAAGAGGTGATTTCAGCCCCAAGGCAGCCCTGCAGGAGTCTTTCTCCCCTTGCTCAGATGATTGGTCTGGAAGTCCTCGCAAGCGCACCCAGACCCTCCCCACATTCAACTGCCCCCTCACTGGGATGGCAGCCAAGGCGGATGCTCTCAACAGGTGGAGCCGCATCAGTGAGAGCGGAGAGGAGAAGGGCGGAACTTTGTCTGAGGATATTTTTAAAATTCTTGATCTGCGGACGTCAGGATCATTTTTTAGAGAATCTAACATGAATACCAAAGAGGGGGAGAATAGATTAAGTGAACGAAGGGGGAGTGACAACACAAGCTCTTCCAGTGCTGCCTCCCAGAAACCTGAGAGTAACCTCCAACCTGCACGGGAGCTGTCTCATCAGAAGAGTGTGGACAGCCTGATGGCCAACAGATCTGTGCAGCAGGTCAACAGCAAGGCAGAACAGAAGGATAACCCTGATCAGCTTGAGAAGACGTGAGTACAGCTGTCAGTGGGGGCAAAATTTCTGCAAAACAAGTGCATGAATTAACTTCCACATTCCTATTGCCCATCTAAACTCTCTGGTTTTTCTCTCGGACTCTTGCAGCTTGAAAGAACAGAACAAGGAGCTGAAGGCCACTGTTGCAGAACTCCAGGCTGCTCTAGAGGCAGAGCGCCGCCGTGTGGCTGCTCTTGAGATCTGTTTGAAGAATGCAGAACGCAGCAAGGAAGAAGCCCAGAGACGCAATGACGAACTGCAAAGAGACATTCAGCAATTCCTTGTTAAGGAAAAAAAACAAGCCTCTACTTAAAATGAGGTTCTTTAGAAGTCTGTGTATTTATGAGTCTGATAACTTGAACAGAACTAATTTAAAATAAGCAGTTTGTCACTGTTGGAATATTTTTTCATTTCTGTGGGAGGTAGAAGATAAGTTATTGGTTCATATGCTTATGCATCTGAGATTAGTCTAATGTCATTGCTCTGGATTCAATTTGAATTCACTTCAGACACTCTTGTCTGCAGGAGCATTTACACAGAGTGCAAAGGAGGGGAAGAGCCACACTGGGAAAGTATGAAAAGAACTTTGAAAATAATGACTGAACAACTCATATTCTCTGAAAACAGATTACAGTATCAAAGTCCTGGGAGAGTCAGATGGATGACATAAGATATCCATCTCTGTTACCACAAGTGAGAGAAAAGCACAAATTAAAGTCAAATAATCTTCCAGCTGCATTGATCTGTAGCAACAGACGTGAAGATAAGTTTGAATGTATTTGTTTTACAAATTATGTGCAGATAGAAAATTGACAAATCCAAAAAAAGGTACGATTACAGCAAAATGAAAGAGAAAACTGGAATGAAGCAATGTATCGTGTAAGAAAAGAGCTAACTTGCATAGTAAAAAAAAGTTAATAAAAGTGTTAAACATTAATTTACATTTACCTAGATTTATTGTCTCCCTTGATAGTCCCAAATAATATCAGTGTTTTTTTTGTGCCTTGTTAATTAGAAACTGATATTTAGTTTCATGCTTGACTTTCCCATCTTTAGCACATCAGAGTTGTTATTATTGCTTTAAGAAAAATCTTGGAAATACAGTGGATAATTTCTACCACAGTTTTAATTTAATTAAGTGGATCTTTTCAACACTGCTTATGATTTTAAAGCTTTATATATAACCTCAACTATTCACCTAAAAGCCAAACAAGTCTTATTCAGCTTCAATAATCTGGTGATGATATGGTGCACTTGCCCAATTTTTCCCTTATTTTTCAGTTTTGATTGAATTGTTTCAATTCAGCTCAGTTTATTTATATAGCGCAAATTTACAAAACGCGTAATCTCAAGGCATTTTACAGTTCACCAGATCATACAGTCAAATTGATTCAAAGTTTTCTATCTAAGGAAGACAAGTTGATTGCATTGACTCATTGACTAGAACGCAGTCCCTCACACTAAGCATGATGTAGTGACAGTGGAGAGGAAAAACTCCCTTTTAACAGGAAGAAACCTCCAGCAGAACCAGGCTCAGTGTGAGCGGCCATCTGCCGAGGCCGACTGGGGTTNGACTGGGGTTCAAGGAGACAGAAGCAGAGATACAAAAAGCAGCTGTAAAAGGCGGCCCCGTCCAGGAAACACACAGCCAGGCAGACGACCTCCGAACCAACCCCCATGTCAGAGGATGAAGAGAGCACATCCAATCAGTCACAGTCAGAGAAACAGGGCTACACTGTAAAACAGGCCAATCTCCAACATCTATAAACAAAGGAGTAGATGGCAGCAGCACGGCTGATATTTCTCTCCAGGATGGCCAGACTAGGCAAAGCTACTTTGAGAAAAAGCAGAGAGAGCATAATGTTAGAGATTAAACTAACAGATTCTACAAGAGATTCTGTTTCTCCCTTTATACTTCTTAAGTTCACAACTGCCTGGTGAATCAGTTTAACCTTAAAAAAGTTCAGTTCCTTTTAGTATCTCCAGTTTTCTTTCCCAAAGCCATGTTTTGCAAAGGCGGCAGGCTCAGAAAGTCAAATTACTACTAGTGTTTAAAGGTCTCATGAGAAAATGTTAACATTTTTCCAAATTCTTGTGCAAGATGTTTTATCTTCTTATAAAACCAAACTCTAAACATGAGCCAAAATTCATATTGTTTTTACAAAAACAACACCATGCGTGTTGTATTGTGCAATTTTTATTTAGGTGAAGAAAATGATCCATTCAGGTAACAGCTGAAGGGGGAAAGAGGAAGGATTATTTTTCATCTTCATACAGATAAACTAGCTAAAGAATGTGTTTTACAAGAAAAAGCAAAACAATTTGAATAGCTTAGATGAAATATAGACCTGAAACCGACAGAATCTTTTCAAGGAGGGACAAGAGATGTCCTCATAGTCTTATAGATTTGTAGAGGTTTAGACTAAATGAATAAAAAAGGGTGCATCCAGGCATGCAAGCAACATTTTTAAACTGTTTATCATATATATTTACATGGCAACGTAAATCACTTTCTCTTATTTTTCAGTAATGTGACAACATATGTCACATTCATAGCAGCAGCATTTTTTAAGATCACAAAGCCTAATAATGAAATAAAGCTGTGCATAAATTAAAGATCCTTTTTTGGTTCAATGTTTTAAATCCTTATTCTTTTAGGTGTTTGGTCTTGGTGCTGCATTTTGGTATGTTGTACAATTGCTTTCAGTTACAAGCAATAAATCACATTAGGTTTTAAAACTATTCTTTAAAAGAAAAAGAATGTGCTTTTAAACATCAATCAACTTTTAAGCAGCTATAACAACCAAATATTTCCCTCAGGGGCACAGTTGGTAAGGTCGTAAACACATCGGCCACAAACACAATGAAGTTTATAGGAGATCTATTCTAACTTCTAAGGATGATTCATGCTTACAGCACAATGGCACTTAGCATTTCATTGATTTTCCACCTTTTATCCTGACTGAAAAGACATATGGTATGAAGTCAGAAGATTTTCTTATCATACTTGAGAAACACCTGGGAATCATAAAACTGGGAAACTATATAAGAGCACAGAACCGGACTGTTTGAAAGTCTGGTTTTAGGCGTTATTTCTGTCGCACCCACAAATCCACATTTATTACAATGCGGGATCCGTAATGGAGACCATATGGAGCCAGGCCAGGCTGAGCTGTGTGTGCTATCGAGCCTTCTTAAGCCCATCAGGAAGATGTGATAGTCTGTTGGTGCAGCAGTTCAACAAAGCAGCAGATAACAGCACGTCTGTCAACTGTCAGCCTGGCAGCTGAGTGGCAGAAGCAGGAAAAGCTCATTCTTTCCCTTCTCTGTGACGCACTGTGAAATCAGGAGTGTATCTGGGGGGTCACACGAAAAAGCTCAGGAATGGTGGACAGTTGCATGGTGGAAGAGAATTCCAGTGACTAATTGAGAAAGTTTTTATAAGTTGTGGATTCACTGACAGTGAATGTAATCAGAGCATTTTACTGGGAGCATTTACATAACATAGAGTGTGGCCATTTTGGATCTCATTGTGTTGCTTGTTGGGAGAAAATGTCTTAAGTCCCCTCACTGGAAAAAATCTAAATCTAGATAAGTCGTTTTTTTCTTAAAATAAGTGCATTTTTTCTTCGATTGAGGAGGTAAAAGAGACATCTTGCCAGTGAAACAAGAAAATTTACAATTAAAATAAGAAAACACAATTATATTGTCATATTTCATATTTCAAGTTCATATTATCTAATTATGTTATTTTAAGTGTATAAATACTTCATTGGCAAACAATCCAATGTACCTATTCAAACTGAGGCTAAATACACTTAATTTAAGAAATTTGTACTTATTTCTAGATCGTTTTTCCAGTTCTGGCCTCAGTAAGTTTCTCTTCTTCAGATAAACTTCAATTAGAATATTGTTTATTTAATGGGGGGGAAGCCTCCCATCAAGAAGCAATTGTCTTAAACAAGGACTGTTATCGTGCAACAAGAAGATCCTGGTTTCGACCCCCAGCCTTGGGTCTTTGACTCTTCCAGAACCATACAGTCTGTTCATAAGGTACATTCCCAATAAAAGTCATGAACTATACAGAACATTTCAGTCAAATTATCCAGTTTTGTTTTGTTTTTTTTATCTAAGGAAATCTAGCTAATTTCATGAAACCATTGACTTTGTAGGATACTCTCCTACTGGTTGAGCATGGGGCACAGTACTGTAGATATTTGCTTGCATTTTGTCCCTCATACTAAACATAAATGCTGGAAGAGTGAAAAAATCCTTTTCAAAAACGAAAAACCTCCAGCAGAACCAGGCTTAGTGTGAGGCCAGTTAGGG